ATATTTATCTTTTCATTTTAATTTATAATTATATATTTATAGAAACCAACCAGATGAGAAAACTATACAGATACCCCAAAAATAATAATAATAATAATAATAATAACACTTAGGCATGTTATCTCCGGTTGTTCGGCGCTTTCTAACTCTGAGTACTTGCACAGGCACAACCTAGTAGCCAGAATTCTACACCAGGAGCTCGCTCTGAAATACGGTCTCGTGGACCGGAAATTGCCGTACTACAAGTACTTGCCGGAAGCCGTGCTCGAAAATGATCGCGCCAGGCTCTATTGGGACCGGGCCATCATCACAGACAGGACTATTCTTGCGAATAAGCCTGATATTGTGCTGATGGACCGGGCACAGTCAAGGATATTTTTGGTCGACATTACCATTCCGTATGACGAGAACCTCGTGAAAGCCGAAACAGACAAGCAAACAAAATATCTGGACCTGGCTCACGAGGTGACCGACATGTGGGGTGGTCTGCCGACCGAAATTAGCCGGATATAATGCAAAAACTGACGGAGCGCATAGACGACCTGAAGCAAAGAATAGCTGCTTGGGGAAAGCGGATTCGGCGATATACCGAGAGGTGGACACGGTTCAACCAGAATCGTCTCTTCCAGAGTGATCAGAAGAGGCTCTATAAATCAGTGGAGCGACCAATAGTAAGTGGAACGGGCCCTGCACCAAATCAGGCCGACATGGTCGCATTCTGGCGCAGCCTGTGGTCAGAGCCCGTAAACCACAACGAGGGCCCTTGGACGGAAGTTGTGGCGAGTCAGTGTGCGATTATTATGCCCATGGACCCCGTCATCATAACGCCGGATGACGTAGCTGAGGCGGTCCGTAGGGCCCCGAACTGGAAAAGTCCGGGGCTTGACGGGCTGCATCACTACTGGCTGAAGGGGTTCATGGTGTGTCACTCTGTGCTCGCCCGACAGTTTCAAGAGGCTCTCAACCAGAAGTCGCTCCCAAGCCTCTTCACTACTGGGATCACTCATTTGGTTCCTAAAGATCAGGGTGCCACAGACCCGAGCAAATACCGCCCCATCACGTGTCTACCGACCATATACAAGACACTAACATCCATTTTGAGCACAAGAATCGCTCGTCACCTGGACTTAAATCAGGTGATGTCGCGCGCTCAAAATGGATGTCGGGGCGGCGGTCGTGGAACCAAGGAACCACTCCTCATTGACGCGGTCATTGGCAAAGTGGTGAAACGCAACCGTCGGAACTTCTCCGCCGCCTGGATAGATTACAGAAAGGCATTTGACTCGGTGCCCCATACATGGCTAAAGAGGGTCCTCGAGCTGTACAAGATTGACTGTACAGTTCGAGACTTCCTCGAGCAGTGTATGGGGCAGTGGAGTACGATCCTCTGTCATCTAGGCGAGCGGATGACGGCTGCGGAAAGCCGCATAAGGATAAGAAGGGGTATATTCCAGGGCGACTGTCTGAGTCCAATCTGGTTCTGCCTCTCTTTGAACCCTCTCAGTACTTTACTGGAGGGCTCCGGGAGGGGATTTCAGCTTCGGAAAGGAGGTACAAAAGTGACCCACCTTTTCTATATTGATGACCTCAAATTATTCGCCTCCAGTCGCTCCCATCTTATGGAATTGCTAAACATCACGTGTGAATTTAGCAATTCTATTAGAATGGAGCTGGGGACGGATAAGTGTGCGGTCCTTCATGTTGAAAGGGGAAGGGTTGCTAACTCTGAGGGCATAGACTTATCTATGCCCGTCAACTTAAGAACCCTTTCCGAGGCTGAAACATACCGATACCTGGGTATGTCACAGAACATCGGTATCGATGAGGCTGGTATGAAACAGTCAGTTTGCGACGTGTTTTATGCACGCTTGACCAAAGTGCTTAACAGCCTTTTGTCCGGTGTGAATAAGGCACACGCATATAACGGTTGGGTCATGCCTGTCCTCATGTATACCTTTGGCATACTCAGGTGGACTCAGACTGAACTTAACGCCCTGGATAGAAAAGTCCGCACTACCATGACGTCCCATAGGATGCATCATCCGAGATCGTCGGTAATGAGGCTGTACTTGCCGCGGAAGCATGGTGGTCGTGGCTTCTTGAGCGCGCTCACCATGCATAATCGCGAAGTGTGCAGCCTCCGTGATTACTTCCTTGAGAGATCGGATGATCCATTCTATAAGGACGTCATTTCTTGTGATAAAGGACTTACCCCTCTATCCTTAGCCAACGAGCAATGGCAAGACCCGGCAGTGCAGAGCATTTCCGACCGGGAGACCGTATGGAAGGAGAAGGAGCTCCACGGGAGGTTCTACAAGGCTTTACATGAGCCTTTCGTAGACACAGTAGCCTCCCTCCACTGGCTACGCTTTGGTGATCTCTTCGGGGGAAACCGAGGGTTTTGTCTGTGCAATACAGGATCAGGTTATTAAGACCAACAACTATCGGAGATACATCCTAAAGGATGGCACCGTCGACATCTAACGAGCTTGTCGCCATCCCGGTGAGTCACTTAGGCATGTTATCTCCGGTTGTTCGGCGCTTTCTAACTCTGAGTACTTGCACAGGCACAACCTAGTAGCCAGAATTCTACACCAGGAGCTCGCTCTGAAATACGGTCTCGTGGATCGGAAATTGCCGTATTACAAGTACTTGCCGGAAGCCGTGCTCGAAAATGATCGCGCCAGGCTCTACTGGGACCGGACCATCATCACAGACAGGACTATTCTAGCGAATAAGCCTGATATTGTGCTGATGGACCGGGCACAGTCAAGGATATTTTTGGTCGACATTACCATTCCGTATGACGAGAACCTCGTGAAAGCCGAAACAGACAAGCAAACAAAATATCTGGACCTGGCTCACGAGGTGACCGACATGTGGGGTGGTCTGCCGACCGAAATTATTCCTGTAGTCGTCTCTGCAAACGGGCTAATCCCAGTCAGCCTCTCGGGTCATCTGAGGCGGCTGGGACTACGTGGCGGACCGCTCCAGGTTCAAATGCAGAAGGCGGTGCTCCTCGATACCGCCCGCATCGTCCGCCGGTTTCTTTTCCCTTTCCCCCTAACCCTCGGCCGTTTGGTCTCCCCTGCCGAGGGCCTCCATCTGGTTGGGCTTTTACTTATTTATGTACTTTTATATTTATTTTATGTTATTGATATTTATGTATATTTATCTTTTCATTTTCATTTATAATTATATATTTATAGAACCCAACCAGATGAGAAAACTATATAGATACCCCACAATAATAATATTCCACAACTATCACACAACGCCATCTAGTCCTAAGGTAAGCAGAGCTTGTGTTATGGGTACTAGAAAACTGATAAACATACTTATATATTTCTAAATACATAAATATTATAGATAAATTACACCCAAACACAGAACAAATGATCGTGCTCATCACACAAACATTTGTCCTGGGTGGGAATCGAACCCACGACCTCCGGCATAGCAGTCGGGGTCACTACCCACTAGACCAACAGGCCTGTCTATATGTAAATAACATATTGTATATTTCGCTTCGCGGTCTTCAATTTTCAACTGCCCTTTTATAATTTCACTATACAATGCTTTGGTATTGTTTTGAAGGATTTCAAAGTGAATGCTATTTTTCACATATATAATAATTCCACCTCCTCGTTTTTCTTCTCTAGTGTAAGAGTAACAGTGATAACTTTTCATCACAAATTGATATACCTCATCCTTTTTGATATTTATTTCTGTGAGACAAATAACATCTAGGTTTGTCAAGCAATTATTTATAAGAATAGCAAGTTCCTTGAAGTTTTTTCTTAACGAACGAATATTTATATGTATGAAATTTATTGAATTATTATTTTTTACTAAGTAGCTTTGCCATAGTTGTAAATTAACAAATTTCTTATATTCAATATCTTGAAAGTCCATTAATCTAATGTAAATGTGTAATAATTAAAGACTTACTCAGTATTTTTACTTTACAAATTCTTAATAATTGTATTTATATCACTCTCACATCCTACACTTTCAACTTTTTTTCTCTTGCTCATTTTTTCGTAATAATATTTTACCATTCTGTATCCAAATATACTTAAACTTATCCTTAAGCTGCACTTTAGTAGACCAAAATCGCTGTCGCGTTTGGCGAGTTAACCATTCATTAATGTATATACGTAGATTATTATTATTAAGCTATTGAATAGCTTCTATCGCGGGCCTTGAGCGCGGGGACAGAATCCAGAAATTCCGTAACGAAAAAAAACCTCACGCTCCCCACTCCGACGGGCACGGAGGTGTGGCGTTGAAAGCCGTGCATCGTCTAACATCGTTTCAGTTCGGCAGACTTCGGCACTCGGCAGAGTTCGGCACGGTGTTTGTGTGCGTGCGACTAGACGTATGCGTGTACACTAGCTGCTAACTGAATGATAAAAATTCCTGAATAACCTACATGTATTGTAAGATATTAAAAATATTTTAAACAATATTAACTTCTCATTTATTAAATAAGAGAAAAAAAATTATTTTCTTATCGGTCACCACTCTCAAAAAGTGTAACTTGATTTAATATCAAAGACTTAACTGCATAAATAAAATAAATAAATAATTATAATTGCATAAGTTGATAAAAAATGCTATGCAATAGCTTTACCGCGGCAGTCACCGAGTGCCACACGTATTTTTTATTATATATTGTGTGATTAGTAATTGCCGTCGCCTTCCCGTTTTTAATCCACATTAATCTTGCTTCCCTGGATCGTAATGATACAATTATAGGTTTTGGTTTATTATTTATGTATTGTCCCTTTATTCTCCATGTTTTAACAATATCCTCATTTTTTAAATTTAGTTTCATGGTAATATCCTTCACCAGTTCTGCAACATTTTCTCCGTCTTTCATTTCCACATTGATCAGTTCAATGTCCAAATCATACTGTTTTTGTCCCAATAACCTTAAACGTTCATCCAGAGACTTACTATATTTATCCAGATATGCCTTTTTTGTGTTAAGTCCTTTAGCACATTTTTTTTGAACAATCCAAATATTCTTGTTGATTTTGACCTATTTTCATACATTTATTTTCTATATCTTCCATAGCTTTTTCAGTCTCTATATTTTTTTTTATTTCCAATATTTCACTTTTGATTTCACTGACGTCTGCTTTTATTCGGACATAGTTCACTTCCTGCTCCTCCTTCATCTCATTCAAAAGGCTATGCATCGATTTTATCTCCTCACGGAAGGCATTTATTGTATCATTTAACGCGCTTGATAAGGGACAGCATGCGCCTTTATATCTTCGATTGGAGTGCAAAGACGAGTTGTCACTATCGGAGTCGGACGAACTTCGCTTCTTTTTTTGTCGTGCACTGACCCATTGTTCATGAATATTTGGGACAGAGTCATACTGTGACGTTTTATCCAATGTATTTGGCATACTAACCAAATACTAACAGTCTCGGCACGCTTCCGTTGGTAGATACCGGTTTGAATTAGGCCTATTTAGACTGAAGCCGTAGTTGAGGGAGGGATGCGCTGGTCACAATCCTTTCACTTTCCGTGATGATAATTGGAGGCACTAAGGCACACTCGTTATCACTTTCTATCCTGTAGCAGTGTCCTTGTCTATTCGTAATTAGAACCGTACAATATTTGTTCCACGTCCACCCTTGCGAGCGATACACGAGAAACTAAATAGTAAAGTACTTACCCTAAATCCTTTTCTGGACGCCAAGGGAATTTTAAGAGTTGGTGGGAGACTTAACAACCCCAACTTCACTGAAGATAAGATAAGATAAGATAAGATGCTTTATTTGTCAGAATATGGTACATTACTGTTGTTACAAAAGAATTTTGATCCTAAATATTCTGCCGTTTCCGGCGTACAAATATTTTCAGATAGATAATTTTTCGAATTAAGTAGAAAACTAAGACACTAATTATTATATAGTATAAAGATACTTGCCGCAATATTTATGAAAACCAAATCTATATAAAACAATCATCAATCAATTCATAATACTTTAGTTAAAACATTTCAAAAGATTAAATTCAGCAATTCAATAAATACAATTCAAGTCAAATTTATCATTTAAGAAGTCATTTACTGAGTAATAACACTTATTTAAAAGAAATTGAAACAATTTTCTTTTAAAGATTCCTATATTCATCTCTTTGAAACAAACAGGCAATTTGTTGTAAACATGTATTGTCATACAATATACATTTTTTGAGTAGAGCTGTATTCTTTGCTTTGGTACACACAATTTATGTATATTTCTACTAGTCCTAATTACAACATCATTGTGTTTTTCAAATAAATTACTATTTTTGTGAACAAAGATACAGATTTCGTAAACGTATAATGCTGGAAGCGGCAATATTTTATGTTTGCGAAAAAGGGGAATACAACTATCTAATTGGTGTGCTCCGCATAAAGACCGTACACATTTTTTCTGTCCACGAAAAGCTCTAATTAAATCAACAGAATTACCCCATATTATTAAGCCGTAACGTAGGATCGAAGAAACATATCCATAATAGGCAGAGAGTGCGGCCTCCATGTTAGCCACTTGTCTTAACCGATATAAAACAAAGACAAATTTATCTAACTTTTTACATAGGCTATCAATATGTGTCTTCCAATTACAGAACTTGTCTATTGTTACACCTAAAAAGTTAGTATGGTTAACTTCTTCGATTATGTTTTTCCCATATTCAATTTTTTGGAACCTCTTCGTCCCAATCTACTCCTGATAACCACAACTTTTGTATAATAATTTTTGCTTGAATGATTGTTGGTGCGATCCATCCGAGAGGGTCGAATAATCTTGCAATATCAGCTATAATCTTTCTTTTGTTACCGGTTCTCTTAACGTCGGAAGTGTTACAGTGTACTGAAATGAGTCAATATTTCGATTCCAGGTAAGACCTAATATTTTTAACACTACATCTGTTTTTAGCTTTAATCCCTTTCCTGTATCCTCTCCTTTAATTCTATCTCCTTCTGCTATTTTCTCTAGTAGTTCATCATTGTTGCTTGACCACTTCTGTAACTGAAATCCCCCTTTGCCTAACAATTCCCTAAGTTCTTTATAAACATTATTCTTTTCTTTATAAACAATTTGTTATTCTATAGGCAATTTTGTTTATTAAAAGCTCTTTATTATGCCTGACTTAACATCACTGGAAATCATTAGGGCTGATGAAATGAGAAGAAATGGCCATACCTACAGATCGATTGCCTCAAGGCTTCGTCGACCAGTATCAACGATTCATCGCAGCATCCAGCGGTACAGATCGTCTAATTCTCTTGTGAGGAGGAGGGGTCAAGGTAGAAAAAGATGTACATCGAGGCGAGATGACAGTTTTTTACAACTTGGAGTACGTAGGAATACGCGATTAACGGCTGTACAAGCTCGAAATGAACTGGAAGAAGTTCGAGGAGTACGAGTAAGTGAGCGTACAGTTCGCAGGAGATTTGAAGAAGTTGGTTTAGGGTCGTATATACCTGCCAAAGGCCCAAAACTTGAGAGACGTCACCGCGTAAACCGATTAAGCTATGCGCGAGAACATCGTCATTGGGATTTGAACGAATGGCAGCAGGTTCTCTTTACTGATGAGAGCAGTGTTCTTTTAAAACAGATCGATGGGAGACAGTAAATATGGAGACGCAAAGGAGAACGCCACATACAGTCTAATTTTGAACACACAGTGGCTTATGGTGGCGGCTCGATTATGGTTTGGGGAGGGATATGTTTGGGAGCTCGCACGGAGTTATTGATAGTCACAGGAAGGACCTTGACAGCAGATCGATACATCAGAGACATTTTAGAAGAACATGTTGTACCATTTGCCCCATTTCTTGGTGACGACTTTATTCTAATGCAAGATAATGCTCGTGCTCATAGTGCACAATCGGTACAGGCATATCTGAGCCACGTAGGTATACCGGTGATGCAGTGGCCAGCAAATTCCCCCGATATGAATCCGATAGAGCATGTCTGGAACTTGCTAAAAAGAAAGGTTAAATCCAGAATGCCACCCCCAACAATCTGAATGAACTTGGAAACGCACTATTTGAGGAGTGGGAGCGGTTGCCTCAAGAAATCATCGATAACATAATCTGTAGCATGCCCAGACGAATGGAAACCGTAATCAGAGCAAGAGGGGGAGACACTCGTTATTAATTTTGCTTTAATTTTATTGTTAAATCATTTAATGCTTACTTTTTTATTTTTTGTGATGGTTCAAATCATCTAAAAATTTCACTTATTTCAAATTTCTTTATTTTTCAATAAATAATAACGAAGACTTTTCAAAGTCGTTGTTAAAAGATGTTAATCAATTTGTTATTTTGTGTCTTATTACATTTTCGTGAAATATATGCGTTATTATCTCATAGTCTCACTTTTTTTCTGTTCCGCTAATTGTGCCGGTGTGTATATATATATTCATTATAAGTTATTTTATTAATAATGAATAATTATTTAATTACATATTATTGTGGACGACGATCCGCAGTGGAAGAATGGTCGTCATATTTTTTTAGGGTCACGTTCGACCCCAAAAACAAATGATCAATCGACACCAGCCTTGTGCTAAGCATTACCCTTTGACTTGAATATGACTAAAACGACATAATATACAAAATATGGCGTAAATAGTGGTCCACCTATGAGGATTCGATAAAACAAATAGCTTACTAGATCATATTATAATTTTGACAACTTTAACCAAGGATTCGCATTTATTCTTGTATTGTATTTTTTTACGAACTTGCTGTCTTTTGTTACAATTTTTGCTGAAGTCTTTTGAAGATTTCTGTAATTACTGAATAAAAATCACACAATCGTGAGAAAATATAGTTTTTCATGTAAATTTAGAGCTTTTGAATAAAAAAATATGTACTTCTATATTATAACCCTAACTTTTTAAATATTATGTCAATTCAAGTGGGATTTTTGTAAAGAATATGTACTACGTTCTCAGTGTTCATTCATTTAAAAATAGGTCTACTTAATACCAATTTCAAAATGGTTTCAGAATGACGAGTCCTATTATTTACAGAAATATATATAATTTCAAGTGAAGAATATGAGATTCTCATTGAAATACTGTTTTGAAATCAAATTGTGTTAATACGTTTACCGTAACCAGAAATAGCGGGGCCGGGTACTGGGGGTCGTTTGTTTGCGTCGTTGCGCATGGGGGGGGGGGAAGTTTACCATAGTTGACACGCTTGGCGAGCGGGTTGGCAACCGCAGTTTTTTTTTATGTATAATTGTTGTCATCAGGAAGATACTGCTGCCCATCTCCTGCCTGTCTCCCTCTGTCGCCTCTTACGACAGCCACGGAAAGATATGGGGCAGTGGATATTCTCAACCGTCACTACACGGCTAAACTGGTGCAGAAAAAAGGTTCTCGAGTGGCAGCCTCGTACTGGTAGGTGAAGTGTAGGGCGATCCCCACTAAATGGAGTGACAATCTGGTAAGACATGCAGGAAGTGAATGGATGCAGGTGGCTCAGTGCCATGCTTTTTGGCATTCCTTGGGGAATTCCTTGATGATGATGAATACGTATACAAGCATACAAGAGGAGTAATAAGTATACAAGGTGTATTAAATTCTATAAAACTTTCAGTACCCATTCGTTCAAAATTATGCCTTCTTAATACCAATTATAAAATGTTATTATTATTACTAGGTCTCATTAATAAAACAAATTGCAATTTTAATTGAAAACAGCTTAATATAACAATTTTGGTTACTACTGTTGCTGAGCGAACTAGATATAACAAAGTATTAAAAAAAACAAGTTGTACTTTTTATCATTTATTAATAATCTCTGACAAAATAACGAACATCGTAAAAATTTGGGTAGACTCGGTACGATTGAAACATTTTAATGGAATTAGTTAAGCGAGCGATGAACGAAATATATTAAATAAAAGACCATATATCTGTTTACTAACAGGCAATGTTATTTGAGATCACTGTATTATATTTTATATGTAAAGTCATATTTAAAAAAAGTGTAATTTGTTTCAACCGTCCCCTTGCCAGGGTCGGTTGAAACAGTTGCCTGGGGTCAATTGAAACATGCTAATAATACAAAATATAATAAATGAACATGTTTTATTAATCGTTTTACAACATTTTACGACTCGAAATGGCACAGTTGAATATCACAAATATTTTTTATTAATATTCAAGTCAAGCATTATATATATTTTGGGATTCTAATTTTTTATAACGGTCCATGATAGTAGCCAAATTGTCATAGAAAGCATCTACGTTATTTCTTTTTAAGCTAGTCGTCCTAGAAAGACATGCAGTCTGTGCTGCACGCACTGACAGCTCCGGATTTCTTCTCATAAACATTCGAAACCATGTCGTGATAAGTCTTACTTGACGGTTAGTTTGTATGCTTATATC